AAAAAAAAAAATTCGATGATAGGCCACAAGATGGGCCTAACCATCACTGCTAAATTTCTGTTAAAATGTTCTTTCTTGTACTGAGCCACCATTTCCCTTGTTGTCACTTCCTTCTATCACTTCTAGTTCTACCTCTGAATCTCCATGGAATAAATCTAATGATGCCTCTTTCAAGTGACAGTCCTCCAACTATTTGAAGATAAGGTACTATTTCCCTTTAAATCTCTCTTTTCAGGCCAAACTTCCTTAGATTTCTTTTACTGATCTGGTTTTCAAATCCTTGACAGTTCTGCTCATCTTCCCTATTAACTTTGGAAGGGCCAGAACATAATAGAAAACTCTACATGTGAGTTGTTTAGTACACAGTACAATGGTGCTTTGGACGTTATTACTTCCACCTTAGATTTCGGCAGCTTTTTCTGAAGCTGCTACTGTGTTTGCAGTCACTAAAAATTCCTTGATAATTGTTATTAAGCCAGGATTCAACCATCCTGTACTTACTTGTGCAGCTTGAATCTTTTAAAAAACAAGGCAAGTTTGTATTTGTTTCTTTTCTTTTTATTTTTTTTGGCAACTGGCTGGTAAGGGGATCTGAACCATTGACTGTGGTGTTATCAGCACCACATTCTAAGTGAGCTAACGGGCCAGCCCTGTATTTGTTTGTATTACATTTTATTTTAGTTTTTACTGCAGTTCCTAGTTCCTGCCTCTCAAAATCTTTTCTTTTGGGGGGATGCGTAGGGGTGGGGGGAGCCTGGTCAGTACAGGGAACCAAATCCTTGACCTTGGTGTTACAAGGCTGCTTTCTAACCAACTGAGCTATCAATGTCTTTTTTTTTTTTCTGACTGGTAAGGGGATCACAACATTCAGCACGGTGCTCTCTGCACCACGCTCAGCCAGTGAGCGCGTCAGCCATTCCTATATAGGATCCGAACCCATGGCCTTGGCGCTATCAGCGCTGCACTCTCCCAAGTGAGCCACGGGGCCAGCCCTTCAACATTTTTTTGAACTTTGATGTAGTCTTTCTCTCTCAATCTTACATAGTCTACTAATTTGATAAACGTGCTTTCTCTGTCTTCCTTCAGATTATTAGTAGAAATGGTGAATCAGAACATTGCAGCAAGGCTTGTGTTATGTTACTGTGTACTTTCTCTGTGTTGATTTTGGTTTATGAATTAGCACCACCCTGGGCTTGGTTGTTCACATCTGAGGCCCATATGTATACGGTATTATAAGAGTTTGTCAGATGCCTTAAAATAATTATGGGCCGGCCCGGTGGCGCACTGCTGCAGTGCGCCGCTTGGGAGCGCGGTGGCGCTCCCGCCAAGGGTTCGGATCCCACATACAGACCGGTTCCCGCTCACTGGCTGGGTGAGGTGTGGGAGCAGCACTGAGGGTTGCGATCCGTTGCCGGACACGAAAAAAGAGACAAAAAGGAAAAAAAAATAATAATAATAATTAAGATATTCTCTCTCTGGAGCATTTCCTGATATGCCGGTCTTGGTATCTTTATCAGACAAGGAAAATGAATAATTTTTCATGTCCTATTCTTAGTAAAACCTCAGTAGCAATCATCCATTTCTTTCTGAGTGCTTATAAGCCACATGTCCAATAATCAGTTCTTTAACTTTACTGGGAATCAACTGCAAACTACCATTTTCCTTATTGAAAACCAAGTTTGCTTGTTCATCTCTAGATTTCTGGCCTAGATTTTGTCAGCCATAGTTTATTTACAGTTATTTTTTTATTTTGTCACTTTATTATAATCTGAAATAGGTAGTACATTCACTATTCAAAAATTTTTTAACTAAAAAGGATTTAAAGTAAGAAAACTTCCAGCCACCACTGCTCTTCCCCATAGGCAATCACTTATTGGCAGTTTCTTGCCTATCTTTTCACAGATATTGTATGTATATACAAGCAAATGCAAATTTGTTTTTCCTGAATGGTAGCATGCTATACATATTTTTCCTCACTTTGCTTTCTTTTTTTTTTTTTCCTTTTTTTGTCTTTTTTCGTGACCGGCAACGGGATCGCAACCCTCGGTGTTGCTCCCGCACCTCGCTCAGCCGGTGAGCGGCCGGTCTGTATGTGGGATCCGAACCCTCTGCGGGAGCGCCGCCGTGCTTCCCAAGCGGCACACTGTAGCAGTGCGCCACCGGGCCGGCCCCTCACTTTGCTTTCTTTACTTTACAGTATATCTTAGTCATTATTCTGTATCAGAATATAAAGAGTTTACTTGTTCTTTTTATATGGGTGCGTAGTATTCTGTTATACACCATACCATAATATTTAACCAATCTGCTGTTGAGGGACTT